AGCAGGTACTCCCTTTTTGCTCCCAATTTTAAATGAGACTTTTCAAAAACATTTTACTAGTATGATTTTGATATAACTTTTGTAGACATATTTTGTCAGACTGAGGAAATTTCGACTTTATCATATCATGGTTTATCATAGATCCTTATAATGACTTGGTATACAACAGCAAATGCTTTCATTATATTTCTCAAATGATTGTGTTTTCTTTTGTTAACTTTCCAGCATTAAGCCAAATGTGAGAATCTTCAATCAATTCAGCTTTATTCTAAAACACTTTTGTTTTTCCTTACCACCCATATACATACATATTTCAGGATTCAGTTTGCTAAAATTCTGCTTAGGAATTCTGAATCCAAGTTTGTGGATGATAATGGCTTATGAGTGGATTCTCCCATCCTCTTTATTATGAGTTCAATGGACTTCACAGTGAATCTTAAGACTGCAGGTTAACTTGGAGTTCTTGAAACATTCTTAGTAACAATTACTTCAAATGTTATTTCTGTCCCAGACTGTTCTTCTAGAGCAGTGGTTCACAACACCAGGGGTTGCATAGCAGATATTTACATTATAATTCTTAACAGTAGAAAAACTAATAGTTACGAAGTGTCAATAAGACATTCTTATAGTTGGTCATCATAACATGAGGATGTGTAGTCAAGGGCTGCAGCATAAGAAGGTTGAGAATCCCTGCCCTAGTGTGTTATACATAAACCTAAAATATTCACTATGCATCATATCATTTATGCTCTTCTCTTATTTTTTCTCTACCCTTTTTTCCTTTTACAAGCTTAGTCTGGATTACAATTTTGATTACTATTTTAATTACTATTATTTTTGATTACTACAATCTTCAGATCTCAAATGTCCATTTCTCTTAAACAAGGTATATGTCTTAAAGAACAAACATAATATGCCCTTGCATTTGGTAAGCATAGTTATGGAGAGTTGATAGTCTGCTTATATTGATTTTTATTTCTGCCATTATTCTCTTACATGTCTAATTATTTTGCTATGCAATACTCTATTTGAAAATTTTGTTGAAATTATTTGAAATCAAGACTGTTACTATCATTATCCAGAGTAAATTTTGCATTTGCTTCTGTTACACTCATGCTAGTAACCACTAGCAACTCACAATCATTTAGGTCTTTTTGCAGTGATTTGCAATTCTCTAATCAACTTGAAGACAGAGAGCTCAGTGCTGGTTCTGCAATGATAGATAGATTTTCTACCTATCAGTTCTGTTCGAATACTCTTGTAAAAGTCTAATTCAAAAATAAGGTTTTCTACAGTCTTGAACATTTATGTTCTACGACTCCAGAGATTTCTCTGCAAGTTTAACAAATATGTCATCAATACTACTGAGTCTCTTGCCTACATCTTCTGAGTCTCCTACCTAACTCAGCCCAGGAATTCATTACCTTTTCAACAATTCACTCATTTATATTTTGCCTTTGCCTTGTGTTATTGTCATCAGTGGGAGGTCAGGTCTACTCTACCATTACTGCTAATTTCATTCCTGCAGGTATTTTCAAGCTGTATTTTGTTTCCTTAACAGCCTGCTAGTGTAACTCTGCAGCCCCAGCCAGGAACGGTAATGCCTGTATGTAATGTCATGGCTGCTCCTTGTATGAATCAGCACAGTCTGCATAATTTTATTTGATGCATTTATCTGTATGTCCTTCTCAAATCATCAGAAATTATCTGAGGTAGGTCAGTGAGAAGGCACAGCTGGAAAAGACATTTACAGCAAAGCCTAACAACCTGAGTTCCACCCCTGGAACCCACATGGTGGAGAGACCCAACTCCTTTAAGTTGTCCTCTCATCTACACACCTACATGCAAATAAATAATGTAGTAAAAAAGAAATTATCTAAGGCCTAAGATGAAATATCTGTATTTTATCACCAAGGATGTTACCTCCTAGATCTCAGACCAGTTGAAACTGAATTCACCAATTAAAATAACAAAAGGTGCTATGAAATGGGATTGCAAATATCTTTTAGGTTATAAGTTTTGTGGTAGGCCAATACGCCTTTTTCATGGTTCCCTGACAGTAGATAAAAGGTCCATTATATGTGGAGTAGTCTATTATGGAGGAAGATCTTCTATTAGACCTCATATGCCTTAGTAGCCTAGATTTACTGTTTTTTTTTTCCATCTGCCCCCCAGGTTGGCACATGCTTATGGGCACTCAGCTTTAGAAGTTTTTCTCTTGCTTTGGCATTACAGTTCTTTAAAGAAAATCCCCTTCACCATTGTTTTTGAGAGAGTCGACACAAATACTCTCAAGACCAACATCTATCTATACAAAGAAGTTGCTACATATTTTTAATAGAATAACACATGCAATAAATTTATCCACTGTTCATGTATGAACAGAAAGAGAACAACAAAAGCCTGAGAAAACCTGATAATCCCAGGAGTTCTTGATTTCTGATTGCTTTCAAGACAAGAGAGGTTTTGGGAATAAATTTGAGCTACTAGCTCTAAAGCTCTCAGAGCCTCAGAAAATTTTTTTAAAATAAATTATGTCACAGCAGTAACAGAAAACACTAGTGCCTTGGGGTCTGTTAAGAGAAGTCTTCAAACCTCATCTTCCCCATTCTCAGTGAAGATGTGCTCAGGAGCCACCAGTCCTACCACCAGTCCCACTCTTGTCACTGACAGGCTGTCTTCAAATCCTTCCTGGGGTTCTGTTACTCCAGACAGTTTTTCCAATAAAAGGAAAGGTTATTTACAATTCCTAGCCCTGGATTATAAACATCGTCAGCTGGACTGCACTGCAATGTTGGTGCAGTTCCACAGAACACAGGTCTGTATAAAGCCAGTGTATCTTGGCCAGGTGAAAAGGAATTTAGTCATCAAAGCATCTGAAGGGTCGTTCTGCAGCTCATTTTACACTCTCAGGTGGTCCTGCAGTGTGTGCTCTGAGGACAGCTTCACAGCAGGTTTCCGACACAGACCATTTAGACTGGGAGCCAGACAACATTTTTTCTCCATTAAATTATATGAAATCAGTGGTATTCTGGTAAATTGCCCCATTGTGCATTAAATAATCTTATTTAGACATCTATACTAAATACTTTTTAATATAGATTATGTTAACATTTTACTGAAAAATTCTTTGAATAATTCAATATGAAATACTGTTTCTGAGATTAGCTACAACAGTATCTTTAAGCAAATACTCTAATTCAAATTTCAGTATATGGCATTTTTTCTTCTGACATATCACACTTCTAAATAATTTACTTAATACATGCTGACAACTACCAGTTTATGAGCTCCCCAACACCCTGAAAGGATATTTTAGAGAGGAAGTCACTGTGTGTTTCTGCACATAGCAGTACTGAATATGCTGCTGTTGGATCCTTTGAAGGACTGTACTGTCTATGCCAAAGTGCAAATTAGCATAAAGGCTGCTCATTCATATACCTGAGACCCCAACAATTCCACACCAAAGGCAAATGAACCAGCCTACAGCAGTGATTCTCAAAATAAGGTTTTTAGACAAATATCACCATCATCTCATGGGAATATATTAGACATTAAAATTCTTGGGAACCCACCCTAAATCTAATAAATCAGAAATCCAATATGTGTTTTAACAAGTCCTCAAGTGACTCTGATGACTGAAAAATGGGTAAAATATAGTGCTAACACAATCAAGTACTTTGTAACACAGAAGATGAGTGAAAATATTCCAGCTACACTTACAAGACTAATAAAACTAAAACAATACAGACTGGACGGATAACATAGGTCTATGATATATTTTATAGAAGGAAAACAAAGAAGATTGCTTAGTATATTATTTAAGAAGGAAAAATCTTGTATGACAAAGCAATAAAAGTATTTTTGAAACAAGGAAATGATGTACTTTCTACTCTATACAGTTTACCTAAGAGGAAGTGGGGGACAAGTGAGGAAATTATTTCCAGGAACTACAACTATACTGGCAACAATTTATCTCTTAAATAGTAAGGTCACAGGCTTTACAAGGCCATTTTTATTACTACATAATTCTGTTTATATCAAGTACTGCATAGTACATTTTAAGTCTAGAAAATACAAAATTTTTATTAGGAGCACTTTAGCTCCTAATAATTACAGACATTACTTTAAATGAAAAATGAGATTTAACCTAAATGTTAATTATTAACTTGTGATACTATCACTTAGTTTCAAAGAAATTATGAAATCATGGTATGAAATTTTCAAAACAAATTTTAAAAGTCATTTAAAAAATTTAAAGCCATGAGGAAGTATGAAATTAACCAGATAGTGGGAGTAAAAGCACAATAAAAGGACTAGAGGAAAATAAAGTGACATGTTATTGAAATTATTATACAGAACTTTATATCTTTTTATACACATAATATTTTTCTTCTTTGTGCAGTAAAGTCATTATGGATTTTATAGTGTTGATGAAATAATAAGAAATTATTTTTGTTTTGAGGAAGAGTTTCTCTGTAGCTTTGGGGCCTGTCCTGGAACTAGCTCTTGTAGACCAGGCTGGCCTTGAACTCACAGAGATCTGACTGCCTCTGTCTCCCAAGTGCTGAAATTAAAGGTGTGTGCCACTACCACCTGGCAGTAACCCTTAAATTATTAAAGAAAACTGTCAAATTTTTTGTCCAAAATGGGGAGGAAATTGGCATTTTATTTGGTTGTAATTTATAAGCTATAAAATTCAAAGTTTTGTATTTTCTGCCATAAAATTAAATGCCTGTATAGTTACCACTCCTCATAAAACAATTTCATCTACTTATAAGTGGAAAATCGTCACAGAAAACCATGTTTCAATTAGGACTTTACCAAAAAAGGAAAATAAGTTAGAACAAAACAAAAAGAACGAAAATTTTAAATTATCTATCAATTATTGACTAGTTTTCAACAACACAGAAGAAAGACACAAATTCTGCTGTGTTTCTCGTGACAGTGCGAAATCATCACAAAGAGCAAGGGTCAGGCAGCAAAGGCTTGTTACATACCTCCTTCTCCAGTATTCTGGCAATCTCACCAAGGGTCCGATCCAAAGCTGAAGCCTTATTGTTTGCCCAGGAGCCACTGTCTTGTACTTGAAGTTGTTTTACAAGATCTTTGGCTAATCTTTGAAGCCTTGAATACAAAGTAAAAAACTGCATTAATTATGTATATGTGTATATATGGATATTTTGGGATCATAAACCTATTTTTCTGAATACATGAAACACAAATTACTTTCAATAGTCTACCTGAAACTTCTCTAGAGAGCAGCCAGGGGAGGCAAGGAGACAAAATTGTAGCTCTTCATCTTTAAGATCACCTATTTACTCTTAATCTAATAAAATGACTAGCAGATGACATCATCCTTGGCTGCAGTAATTGAAAACATTCTTTTTGTGTGATTCTCCGATTAGAAAAGAATTGGGAGAGGGAGAAAGTGACAGGGTGATGATCTGGAACATGAGTAAAGAACCAGAGAAGGCTTTACATTCTGGTCCAAATCCTCCTATTAGGCTCAGAAGTGCTGCAAATTCCCACAATACTGATCTTCCCATGGTCCACTTTAGAGGCGGTTTGGTGTTACTTACTAGAACAAGAGTATTCATTTGCTTTGTATCTAGGAGTGCCATACATTTTCTAGATTGTAAGATTCCTCAGAGAGGGAGCTGAGACTAACACCTCATGATAGCCCTCCCTTTGCTTTGCTTCTCAGTCCATTCGTCTTTCCTGCTTATTTGCCTTTGCAGCCGATGATTGCCAGATGGTCTCCTGTTGTAGTAGGGTCGCTTGTTCTTCCCAGCCGCCCAGCTAGCTTAAACCCAAAATGATCACACAGAAACCATATTATATAAATCATTGCTTGGTCCATTAGCTCTAGCTTCTTATTGGCTAACTCTTACACATTAATTTAACCCATCTAAATTAATCTGTGCATCGTCACGTGACAGTGGCTTTGTGGCAAAGTTTCGGCATGTCTGACTCTGGTGGAGGATCCATGGCATCTCTCTGACTCTGTCCTCTTCCAGCATTCATTCCAGTTTTCCCTGCCTATCTAAGTTCTGCCAAGGCAGTTTCTTTATTCACTAACCAATAAAAGCAACACATAGACAGAAGAACCTCCCACACCAGTCTCTCAGATATAAAGTCTATTTTTCTTCTCTTCTCTGACTTCAAACATTTCAAGTATGGTAGGTTCCACAAGACATAACTACAATTAAATTCTTAAAAATTTATTAGACATTCCCTCTGTTGTTTCATTTGTTACTTACATTAGACAAGCCTCAGAAATGGTAATAATGTTTATTAAGCTTCTACTATAGTCTAGTCAATGTTCTCAATTCCTTGAATACATTAATTTATTTAACTGACTCAATAAAAATGAGCCTTTTCAATTCATGACTCTTGGAGAAAGTCACATGATGCCAAAGATTCACAATCTCATGGAATTTCTCAGTCTGCTAGTCACCCAGCCTCCACATACTTAGTTCACACCATTCCACCCTCTTCAGAATGTAAGCTGTTCTTTTCCTCTCATTTGCTTTTATGAGTTTATATTTCATATAAAGAACAGAGGCTAGTAGAAAAAAATATTACACATATTACACCCTATTACACCCTATTACACCCTAGGAAGCTCCCCTCTTCATCAGTAGAGCTAAACCCTCTACACAAACTGCAATGCATGAGGTCCTTCTGGATCTCAATTCCTTTTCTTTTTGTCTTAGTGTCTTTGAAAATGCTCTTCATTTCCTTCTGAAATGCTTTCTCCACTCTTCTCTATCTTTAGCACAGAAGTCACTTTCTATACTATGGATATTTCTTTAATGTACTTGTCTCAAGCAACTAGCTGTTTAATGTGTGCTTCTCCCATGAAGAGCTTTCTACAGTGACATATATGTTCTTTATTTGTATAACCCAAAATAGTAATTGTTAGCTTCAAGAGGTTATTGAGCACATGGAGAATCCTAAGCACTGAACCCTAAGGTGTACAGAATTTTAATAGTTTAGTGGTAATGTGTGTGTAACTAGAAGCTATTGAATTAGGCAGTACACAAGCAGATGTAATTTACATTATATTGTTCAGTTGTTGTGTGTCATCTGAGTTATCAGAGAAGGTTGTTCTAAAAGTGGGGTAATTCGCCCCTGCAACTTCAGAAACACTTATGTTTATGCCAAGTATTTCCCTAAAGCCTGATCTGGGTCAGATTGGCCCGTCTCTGCACCAGAGAGAGAGAGAGAGAGAGAGAGAGAGAGAGAGAGAGAGAGAGAGAAGGACAACAAGAAGTATTTAAAACCTCGTGTATTCAAGAACAGCTAGAGAGGAAGCCATTTCCAAAGAAGTGACTATTTTTTATCCTGATATAAAAATGCATACAGTGGGAACATGAAGGCAGATGTTAAGCCACAGGAAACTCAGGAACTCTAGGTGCTTAGTTTTTTTTGTTTGTTTTTTTAATAGATGTTGTGAGCACCAGATTTGATGATACTGTCTGTCTGCTGCTATTTGCCCCTTTACTTGAGAATCACAGCTATGGGACCCACCCTGTTCTGTCCTGAGACTCTCTTAAGAGGAACTCCAGTGGCTGCCTTAGGGCCAATCAGCTGGCAAAATGTACTATTGGGACTGAAACATTTGATCTCCAACTCCCATGTGACATTAATCAACTTAAATAGGGAAGACTGGTTCACATATGAGTAATTTCATAGAATGCAATTTTATTTTAAATTTATTCATGTAATTTTTAACAAGTCAAAGCATACAATATCAACTACAGCTCAAAAAGCAGCAATAGACTAAAGTCTAAGTTTCATCTATCTATATGAAGTTTACTTCAGTAAGTCAAAAAACAATATAAACTCTAAAAACCAAAGTATACATGCCTGAAATCTGGAGCCAGCACTATCATACTATATATTACCCCTAGGGGTGTTATATAACTTTTCTATATTATGGTTTCTTCATCTTAAAAGCTAGATCTCTCTCTCCCCCCACTTCCCTGCCTTCCCCTTACTCCCTCACTCTGCCTCTTCCCCAGACTCTTTTAATATCAGAGATTGTACCAAGTACCATTCCTATTATAAACAATGAATAATCATTGTCTTAATCAACTATCATTACTAAACCTTAACAATCAGTATAAATCCAACAAAAGAGAAAGAGGAATACAAAATCTAAAACAATATCAGCATCCTTTCCCTTCATTTCAGGTATGAAAGAGACTCCCATCTGACACTAGCTACTGGTCCTACCATGTAGAAGAACACCAGCAGCAAACCTCACTGTGCGATGGACAAGTAGCTACTTTGACTTTTGGTTGAATAAGGTCTGCACAGTATGTAACTGAATATCCAGCCATAATAACAGAAGCTGGCAGTATTCTTACCGGGAATGCTTCCATTCCATTGGAAACCAGAAGTACTTAGGGAAGTTCAAGGACCATTTTAATTCACAGAATGAAAGAAGCTTATATTTCACTGAGTTAAATTATTCTGAGGTTCATATGAACCTACCTTCAAGGAAGAATGCCAAATCATGGGGATACTTTAGTAACATGAGCTAAACCCAGTGTCATTCCCTGCCACCACTCAAGTACCACAGACAATAGAGACCCTTTCAAGAAAAACGAAACATCAGATTTTGATGGTTATTATCAATAATTATAGAGCATTGCAGAAGTCAAGCTGGAATTTGTATCTTTCCTAAAGTCTAAGGACAAAAGCAGCTTAGAGAATGCAGCTTTAACCACAGAAATTGTTATTGGGGTTACTTTCAGTAAGTTTTTTTCTAGTAAATAGCAAAAGTAGAGAAAGTAATTCCTTGTCTACTGTGTGAGGAGTATCTGTCATGTAAATAGTTTTGTGAAGAATGTTAAGAAATAAACATTTTATTCTTAAAATGTGAATAAATTCTAACAACTTTATGCTCAAATTTGTCACTGGCAGATGTAAATACAGCACAATCTCTATGGAGTCATATCATTTTGTATACTTAAGAGTACATGTAATATATAAGTACATATTATGCAATATACATTGAATTTATACCATTTGGGGTAACAACACCCTTACCCTCCAACAACCAGAGACTATCTAAAAAGCTTCAGTGACAGGTATGGGAAATCTCCTTTTGAGTTGTTGATCAGAAGAGGATAAGAGACTCTCCCAAGACAATGCAGGTTGTTGCTATTGCCGTTGGTGCTTTCCAGAAAAAGAAAGTTAAGACCCTATTGCTGAAGAGACCATAAATTTCCGATACTGTGAGTGATCAATTTGGTTATGATCTTGGAGCTTCTTACCTAAGAATTAGTTCTCATAATATCAGAAGGAGTCATAGACGTTGTGAAGAGAAAAAAGTAGTCAGCATACCTATCCCTATTAACAGCTATGAACCACAACAATGACCAGAATGTCAAGGTAGTCCAAAAAGTGCAATAGTGGCACTTGCATCCTGGAGATAACCAACTGTCACTTAACTAGATTTAAGATCTGCTCAATAGGAGGGAATTCATACCTGGCACAGTAAATTTAGCCAACTACCCATGGCTGGTGAGGTTGGAACCTAAAGGAGACCCTACTATTGCCACTTTCCTACACTATTAATGTAGCTCTCATTTTGTTGCTGGTGTCTTGTCATAAAGAAAACTACACCATGCTCTGCTTTTAAAGAACAGTGCAAACCACACACTTAGATGGGTATGCTAGATGTACCTAATGTTATCAACTGTTCTACTACTAGGCATATCTTTAATGGGACAAGCTAGAGAATGTATGCATACCATTTATGTATATACATCTATGCTTATCCATATATATTAGAAAACACACATTTTCCCAATCTAATTCATTACTACAGAATTTTGCTATTCCTTGCTATATTAACTGTTCCCTTTCGTACCTAGCAAATTGTCTTTTGCTACCCTTAATATATTTATATATTTAGTCACATATCAACCAAACCATATTGTCTGTGTTACTGTATATTTGCCATTGTCCACACTTGAGCTTTAATAAAAGTCCATTTGGGGATCTTTGATGCTCCTCATATAGTTGAGTTATGACACTGCTTGCCAATGCTTCCCACCCCAACTCCCCATTCCTCAAGAGGACTTTCCATAGAGAAACCCCACTCATTC